ACTCTTTTCGGTGGCCAATTTACGTTATCAACTCAGTTGATTATACTATATTACCCTGTTGTACTCTCCCACCAACGCAGTACCACAGTTTCTTTAGAAACTAACCCCGTTTATTTAACCAAAACCTCCTAACCCCACCCCTCCCCTCCTCCCCTAACCCTTTTCAGGCGAGAAAAAAATGACAGGTCCATAGAAGTGTGATTTACATAAACAGTTTCGACAGTAAAGTTTTGTTCTTGGTGTTCGCCTTCCATTCAGTCGTTTTAAGCGCCCCCTGTCTTGTATGATTTTAAAGCAACACTTGAAGTCTTTTCAAAGCAAATTATGTTTCCCTTTTGTGACAGGCACAACAACGGTCACGTGACAAAGATCCAGGCCAGTCAATGTCTACACATGCTAGGCCTGACGGATGTTCCCGAAGAAATCAAGGTAACCAAAAGTCCAAGCCTTTTTTCTGCCCTAACCGCAGATTACCCTAAAGTATAATTTCAATTTACAACGGTGGTAAAAGCGGAGCTCGCAGCGTGTGCAGCGTGTGAAGCGAAGCTCCATGCTGATCAGAAATGGTATTATGATCAGTGTGCTGGAGTGATGTCGAGCAGTCGTAGGTCGATTCATATCCTGAATGATTGTGTTGTGCTATGAAGACAGACACTCCGCTGCCATAGTGCCTCTTTCAACTCATGAGTAGAAAACCATGAGCACTGAAAATATTTTAATTGGGGACCCGACAGGATGGTAAGAGAAGGCAACCCATTTTATTTCATCCGGTTAAGACATGTTTTCAGGATTATTCGCCGATATTTTTATCTTGTGGGAATTTTAAAAAATCCATCGTTTGATTTCGCAATTTTTCTAAATCGTTTTTAGGTTCTCCAGAACAGATACTCAGATGATATTGGATTCAGCTATATTCAATTCTTGGATGATCTTCAGGTAAAAAACGCAGCTTTCAAGTTATTTTCCATAAAGCGTCCGAAAACTGGGCCCAAACCAGAGAGAAAAAACCCTGGAGAAAGAAAACGCAATGAAAATACCTGGTTTTCGGGCGGAGTGCGGGAAATCTGTTAACCAGGGACTGGATCGGGTTTTTAGTTGAACCAATTGCACAGCGTAACTACTCCTCTTTCCAGCCGTCGTGTGTCCTCGTTATGACCCTTTGATGTCTTCATATGCATTTTTTCTAATCCTCTGTACCTGGCGATCATTTCCAAGAGGTTAAAGGATTAAAATGCATCCATGCTTAATCTTCCTTGTCCCTTTTAGTTCATCATTGCCGCTCCGTCTCATGTCTTTGCCAAACTGTGTATTATTGTGAAAACTTTTATTTTATAATTCGTCATGTTCCAAACACGACTTATGATCGCCATTCATTTGTTTACAGCCGTCAGAACAACAAGAGTTGAAATATCTGCGGAGATTGGAAGAACTAAAACTAACCAACCAGAAACATTTGCCCGACTTGGGTGACGACAACATCGAGAAGATCATGTATAAAATAAAATGCCGTGTGATGAAGGAACGAATGAGACTGTCTGAGTTCTGCAAGGATTACGACAAGCTGCGCACGGGAAGAATACTTAAGACTGTATTTCCCAGAGCCATGGACCTAGCGTCACTTAAACTTACCAGGGTGGAAGTGGAACAGCTTATGAACAGGTATTGTGCAGAACATTTTCTGATTTAAATTATACTGTAAATCCTGAAACTTGCACTTCCCTTATAGTAAGCCAAGCAATTTCACCAGCACCCTCCTCCCCTCGAGTTAGCACCTCCCCTCTGGTAAGCCAAACATTTTCAACAGCACCCTCTCCCCCTCGAGTTAGCACTTCTCTTCAAGTAAGCCAAGCAATTTCATCAGCACCCTCCTCCCCTTAGAGTTAGCACTTCCTCTCTAGTAAGCCAAACATTTTACCAGCATCCCACTCTCCCTCGAGTTAGCACTTCCCTTCCCGTAAGCCAAACATTTTCACAAGCACCCTACTCCCCCTAGATTTAGCACCTCCCCTTTAGTAAGCCAAACCATTTTACCAGCACCCTCCCCCCCTAGAGTTAGCACCTCCCCTCTAGTAAGCCAAACATTTTTACCAGCACCCCACTCCCCTTAGAGTTAGCACCTTCCCTCTAGTAAGCCAAACATTTTCAGTAGCACCCTCTCCCCCTCGAGTTAGCACTTTCCCTTTAGTAAGCTAAGCCTTATCACCAGCACCCTACTCCCCCATGAGTTAGCACTTCCCTTGATAGTTTGAGGATGTATGATATTTACAAAAGCCCGTACGCTAACTATTTAGCAGTTAGATTCCATTTTTCCGTGCGTCTGGTTACTAATAAAACAGAGATGACGTTAAGAACAAAAAACGTGACACACGAGATGCAGCTGAGTGTGTCACTGATGTACTTGCCACATTTTGACATCTGCTGTGATCTGTTATTGTACAGACCCACGGAAACATGGAATCTGTTCGTTTTATATGATAACCAAGAAAAATGTTGTTAGCCCTTTAACCCCTAAGAGTGACTAACATCTAATTTCTCTTCATAATATGACCCCAGAATCAAACATTAAGAACCAACTAAAGAAGCTCGTGATTGTTAAACAAATTCTCCTTGTAAGCACTTAAGGAAATGTATCGAAAACGGTATGGAGAATGTTGATACCAATGTTATGGTGGAAAGGGTCGATGGTGAAGTGATATATACGTCTGTCCTCCAATAGATCATTAGCAAGAACCGATCAAAATTGATTCCATAATTCAGCTTATCTTACAAAAGATTGTGGACAGTGATTTACAGGAAGTATTTTTTTCCTCGTATAGATACACGGCTGTTGGATATCCGGATTATGTACAATACACAGCATTTGTGGAAGAAATTGAGTCTATCTTCACGCTGAGAGGTTTGTATTGTTGTTCCTTTTTTTAATCCGAGATGAAATTTATTTTTCAATATATGATCTTTATAATTAAATCATAATTCCAAGAAACTGCAGAAATAAATTCATTTTGAAGAAAATCCAATATTAATGGCCAAACGTAGCAAATACTTCTTGGCCATCTGGAACAGGTATTGAGAAATAGAGGTTTGTATATCTTGAAAATTAACTCAACACTTTTTATGTAAATCTTCCCAAGTAAATCTTTCCATCCTCGGCCTTTTTTTTCCAGTCTATTCTGATATCTTTGGTGTTCGTCGCCCACAGAAAAGAATTATTTTTAAGTTTCATACTATCATTAAGAAGTTTTTCTATAATCGCTGTAACATCAAATGTCCATTCTATGGATGCTGTCACGCCACCGAAATTTTAGAGTCACTTTTAACTTTCTAACTTTAATCTCCATTGTCCGCAGACCTGGAGAAAGCACCCGAGATTGTTCCGATCCAGTTCCGACCTCAACCCGAAAATGAATACTGCAAACTGTCTTTGGAGGAGGAGCAGGCCTTGGAACTAGTCATGCACCGATTGGCAGACCGCGTGCGCAAATGCCGAATTCAAATTTTCCCGCTCTTTGAGGATTACGACCGCGTGCACAACGGCACTGTCTCTCGTTCCCAATTCCATCGCGTTCTGAGCGAGCTGGATCTCGGAAGCCTTGTTAGTGCGAGGGAATTTTTGGCCATAAAGAAAAAATTCGACGTCGTATTAGGTTACAAGCACGACTTTAACTACATCGGTTTCTGCGACATGATCAACGACTTCGCTAATTTCGAGTACGGAAAACCATGAACTCAACTAGATTTGCTTCAGTAAAACTGTTGTTTGCGTTGAAGGAAGAGGGAGGTTTTATCTTCTCTTTGTAAATATGTTTTGCTTAGATTTCCGAGTGTACATGAAAAGTATTTTATTCATAAAATGTTTGAAAATAAGTTCACGATGTTAAATCGGGATACTCCGTACTTTAGCTCAAAGATACTTTCCATAAAATTGAAATAACTGTACTTTGATTCGTGATTCCATCTGATTCAAATAAAATGAACTTTATTCAGTAAAATGTTTTTAGTTTTGTTGTTTTACAGTAACCTATCACCCTTTAGATCTCAGTATCGATTCTCTTTACTATCTTTCATATATTCCTTAAAATTTAGGCTGTGAGAATTTAGCTATGAATCAAACTATGATAATATATAGATTTATTCAAGCCTAAAAGTGGACTCGCATTTTTTTTCCCGCACGTCTCTTCAACAAAATTAGAGCCCCTACTATGGATAAAGTGCGTGGTGATATTAATGGTTTTCATTCACAACTTCTCCGTGTCCGTGTAGAGGACTGATTATAGGATAGTGCCCGTGGTATAGTTGGCCGCGTATGCTAAAAGTAGCAAATTGTACGGTCGGTCGTACATCCAAATTTTTTTCGGCTTGATGGGTTACTACTATTTTGTATGATTATGGGGCTACGCTCCGCTCGCTTTTCTGTACTCTCGTCATCTTTCTGCATGATAATGCAATTATTATGCAATCTTTAGATCTCTAACTAAAGACGCTCTTGATTGCTGAACAAATTCTCCTTGTGGGCACGTTGGGAAATATAAAGAGAACAGTATCGAGAATGTGCATGCAGATGTTAAGGTGCAAGGGATTGATTATTTCACCGTAAGTCGTAAGTTATTTTTTACTTAATAAGTGACATTTAATGATACGTACAAATTTTCATATCTACATTTTTTTTAAATTTTACTCTAGCTTAAGGTATATTTTTTAGCTGATTGCTTATTAGTTGTTGTTTGTTCCTCGAGAAACAATTATCTTCTCTGTCTAAAACCTTGGTAAAGTTTTTTCTTTTTTAGATTGTACCAATATCAATTTGCCAAAGCATCATTATCCAATGATCCCAGACGGTACATATTATTTACAATTCGATACTTAACGACAGAAAAAGCAACTAAAACAACAAGTAACAACTTTGTAAGACATATCATATAGTAAAATGGATTTCAATTCTTCGTTGAATTTGAAAAATTCAATTTTTCCCTAATCACCCTACGTCTTTTCGTAACCATATTTGTTATTCGAATCCTCGAAGAGAAGGTTTATGCTGCCCCCATTAAAAACGAGGTTGCTAAGGGACTTTAATTTTTAACAGTCAGCATTTCCAATGACTGATAAGTTTCAATGAAACAGTGTCCTCAGGTTTAATGGTCAGCGGTAGCACTGCTAGAATTGAGTTCATTTACGTTTACAGCGACCAAGCGCTGCCTTGATTGTAATCAACCAGATTTTTTGTAAGAATTTTATACAATATTTACTGAACTTGCCGCAGCACTAAGTGTTTCAATAATGCTCCATTAAAGCAGTGTTATTTATTTACAAAAAACTTAAAATCAAGTGGTTCCCATGCACTCAGCACCATTGAAATCTGGGCATGGGCAATGTGGGGTATGTGACTGGTCGATGAAACGCGGACCCTGGTCTTTCTAAAGCGTAGTGAAGTCGCTTCTCTTCCGGTCGAAGATGTATAAACTTTGCCATACTTTCTTGCACAACTGAAAAAGACAATTGATATCCATTTAAGCTACGACGAATTATTGCCTAAAATTCCAGGGCTGACCTCCTAAAAAAGTAACGAGAAATCCCACACGAAATAAACATTCTTGTACTCCCAAGATCGTATTAGAAATTCTCCTTACTGCCTGCTTTGCAATTCTTATGAGGTTACTTCGGTGAAATTTTATAGGATCGACAAATAATCCGCTAATTGATATTCCTCATTATTTCTCATCACTTTTCTACATGATATTGTACTGTTATTGTAAGGAGAAGTTCTGTCTTCGTCACTCATGGGAGTTAAATGGTTAAGTAAAGTTTGATGGAAATTTTGAGCGAATTAACTCCTTAAATACATTCAAGGTCTAAAAACGTTTTCGAACGTTTCATTTCATTTGTTTCCCGTACGTTAGGAAAATCAAAAAGTGACGTCGTTTACCTGATTTCGGCCAATGATCAGCCTGATATTGACACCACGTGACCACTACCTCGGCCATGTGGTGTAAAGTTACTTTCTGTGGATCGCTGGGAAATGTGAGACCTAAAACAAAAAAAGACAAAAAGAAAAGAGATAATTATTTCAGTTCTTAGTCGTTCTGTTAATTTTACCAATGGAAATGAAACAACGGGAAGTGGCGAAAGTTTGGGTCTGTCGAAATTTTTTTTCAGTGCTTTGGTTCTCAAGGTAAACCTTGCTGTGTTGTCTCCTTAGGTTCCTCTCAGATCAAAGTTTGTGCCCAGTACCCCACGTTCTAATTTGGACGCGACGTGAGTTGATCATTTAGCTCCACTTGATCTTCGCGATCCAGTCGTAACAAATTTGTATTCACGGTAGAATATTACTTTGAGAAACCTTCGTTTAACGGTAAAAATCTCAAAGTAATCCTTGATACCTCGTCTCATAATTACCTCTCTGTGTACTCTGCCACTGCTCCGACTTCTCTCTTCTTCCCACTAATTCATCGGCGACAGAGAACACTTTCGGAGCCACGATGTTACTTCCCCAGAAATTCCAGAATTCTCTTATAACTGATCCAAATACTCCCCCTGTGAGACATGAAAGTAAGAAGGGATCAGCTAAAAAGCACGCCTAATCCTTCTAATGTGATTAAAACACTGTCGCTGGGAGAGGTCTGAGCACGAGACCATTTTGCAGTAAGGACAAAAGTGAAAAAATATTGACGTTTGTGGAAAAAACAGACTTTTATCAGAAAATAATTTTTACATAAATTATTCACTGAATTGTTGATAAAGAGAAGTTCCACACACCGGGAATTTCAATTTCCTTTCGCTAAAAACATATTCAGGATTTTATTGCATTCGTTTGGTATTACGCAAAATAATCTCAGCTCACCTGACAACATGCAGTCCGTGCTAACATATTCCTGTGCAGTGCATTTCTCTCCCGTGAGCCTTTGCGTCATGTCGCGGAACTTCATTGTGAGTAGTGGATCTTGTAACCTTGTAATTATCTCTCGCTTGCACAGTTCAAAATGCATGTCGTAGCTCTGTAAACTGCTGGTGATCTTTTCTCGGAGCATTTTGTACAATGAGCTGACGCTTTTGTACTGGAAGACCTTAAGGAGAGTTTGCACTTGAGTATTGATGATCATGTTTACTATGGCCTCGGTCACCATCTGTGCCTGGTCAGCGGGGAAATCATGGATAACCATCTGCCACTGTAAACGAACAAGATCACGTGTTAGTAAGGAGGATAAGGCACTCTATCAAATGATTTTAGAGGGCATGAGGGGTATCTTTTTTATTGCATTTCGGAAAGTCCCGACCAAAAACATCATCTTTACCTATTCTTTAAAGCTAACTTTGACATTTGGTGGAATACCCCCTCGCCAATGAAGCATTGATTTTAAAATCATGACTTCTCAATTCCCTCCAGATAACATGACAAAAAGACAGAAAGACAGCATTTACAAGATGGTTTTTTTACATTACCTTGGGCGAAAAGAAGTCTTCATCGGGCGTGGAACAAAGGCGAGCCAAAGTCTTCATATGGTGAATTTGCCCTTCCTTCGTTCCTTGCCGATATAACGTTGCCATAACAACAGGCCATCCCATCACGCTTCGAGATATCATACGGGTCTCCAGCAAGTCAAATCCGGGAATGACATCGTGGAATGTCTGACATAGTAAGTAAAGTTTCCCGTATGTGGTAATGTTCGTTTGATCATGTGACAGAGCCCTATGAAAGAGGGATTCTGACTCGGGTACAGTCACACAGATATATTGGTCTTCTTCCTCAACTGAGTAACCTCTCAATAATCCAGACGAGAGCGAAGAGGACAACTGCACGATCTCTGATTGCCTTGTAAGTAAATTTTCCTCTATTTCAGCGTATTGTCTTTTTCTAGACTTGTGCTTTTTTCCATCAGAGGACGTCGAAGCATTCTAAGGAGAAAAAACAACATTATAAACTTTCCTTGCTTAATTTTAGATCTTAAACTTCAAGCTTAGTATGCTGCATTTTCAAATAAATCTTAACTCGTCTAGAATCCACAAAAGGGACGTTTTGTACTCCTGAAGAAAAATTCTCCAAATAAATTCAATAGATTTTAAAAAGAGAAGGCAGGTCAACTAAGCTAACGGATAGGGTCTTCAGTGTTTTCTTAGGAGCATGTGACTGCTCACGTGTTACTCACTTAGGTACGTGATTTAAGGTAACTAATACATTAGTCGCATTAAAACTCTACATGGTTCCCTCTAACTGAATTTTCCCAGTTGTCTCTCTGACTGGCGCACTATGTTTAATTTCCTCACGTGACTCTCTTTATCAGCGCACTTAATTAAAATTACCTCTTGTTTCTCTGTTTTGTCTTCTGTGTTCTCCACTTGCTCGCTGTTACCTTTCTGGCTGCTGCTAACTTTGTTATTTGAATTTCTATCCGGAGTTGCTCTTCTTGCTTGAGGCCTGAAGTGATCATGGGTACCTTTGGACTCAAAATAGATTCCATCCTCTTGATGGACCCAAAAGTGGGTCACTGGATATCCGTTGTTACCTGGAAAGAAAAAAAGAAAGGTAAAATGAGAGTATGTCAATCTTTTTGTACAAGAACTCAACGTAACGAAAAAGCCGAGTCTCGACAAGAAAAAATCATTCTTTCTTACCTGTACACTTTCTGTGGACGAGTGTTCCTGTGCACGTGGCGTTTGGACAATTTTGACCCATTTGTCTTTCCCGAACTGCAATAAGAGGGTGGAGTAGACTTAGCTTCCTGCTCAACAGAGTTACAGAAAGACAGATGGAAAAGAGATTATCTGAGTTCCAGCCAGAGAGAAAGACAGATACACAGCCAGAAAGACACACAGACCAACATACAGGAAGACAGGTAGGAAAACAAAGACAAAGGTAGACAGACCCCAGATAGACGGACAACCTTAGAAACGAACAGAAAGACAGACAGGCCACTTAACAGGAAGCAAGAATTCAGGAACATTAAGAGTGGGCCGACAGCCACGTAGATAGGCAAGAAGTTCGCTTACCTTTATCAGATATAGCAGGTCTAACGACAATTTTAAGCCCATTTGGCAGTGTGCAGTCGTCACTACATAGCAGTACTCCAACACAAGTCTTCTTAAGTACAAACTTGTTGTGGTTGTTGGTATATTTCATAGCCCACCCAGAAATATGTGCTTGGGCCTCTCTGCTATACGGTGAGTAGCGGAGTTTAGTAGAGCCGTCAATCCATTCCTCGAATTCATCGTATTCCTTGATCGCCTAATAATCGAAAAACATTGAGAATGAGATTAGAGGGCTATTATTGAATATTTTGTTAGAAATGGTGGCCAATATCTTAACGAAGGCAGTTATCGGGTTTCGCTCTAAGATGGAAGATGAATATTTTTGTAGAATGGTGGAAACAGCGAAACCTGCTCTGGTTTGCTTAGCTTTTCTTTATTATTATTATTTTATTATTATTATTATTATTATTATTATTATTTTCTATTAACCTTATTCTGGTTTCAGCTTTTTTATTCACTTAATTCTTCTTACATATAATTTTCAATTGTATTCTTTTCTTATTTAAATTATTTTCTGTCCACCCAGAGAAATATAGGTCCGTCAGGCATACACGCGTAATAAATAGCTGAACTTATTGCTTGCATTTCTAATTCCCATTACTCCCTGCGTCCGTGGCTAAGCATGCGCAAACTCAATTATGCCATATGCTGGCTCTTCCTAGCATAAGTTAATTCAGTATTAGTTGTTAAACTTTATAAAGCCTAGCGTCGATGGTCCAATTACTCCAATAAAAGTATCCTCAAAGCAACCATCTATGTATGTTCACTGACCTGTAGAATTCCCGCTTCAGCCTCAGGCTCATGAAAAGATCTTTCTCGATTATCAATGCCTCTTTCGTGTCCCACAAGGTAGTGATAAGCGAGCCCAGGTACCGGATAATGAAGGGCTGTTTCCGGATACCATAAAGAGGACCTAAAAATGAAGGAAAAGAAGATTCAAGACCCGACGATAATATTTTACAAATGCAACCTTCAAGTGTCGCAAAACCATAAAACAGTAATCGCAAATGTTAAAGATATAAAAAGCCAAAATCACAAGGAACTCAATTTAACAGCAAGTGAACGCGAGGGTGCGCGGTATAACTTGGCAGGGGATTGGTTTTAGCTGTTTCTGATTGGTGTAGGAGATGGCTACGTCAGTGGTCTATAGACCAATCACAGAGCGAGATAAAACAGAACCGAAGAAATCCTGAATTTATTCCTATGCGTAATCGGAGTTGCGCTGTTATACAGGCAAAGACTTTCAAAATCTTCTTAACTTGTACAAATAAATAAGATTATGATAATAAAATAGGAGAACAAATATCAAATATAGGCGACATAAAAGCTTACAAAATTATTCATGTAAGATACCGCCTAACTGTAGCCTACAGTCGTATAGAACAGTTTCTTAGTGAATGTCAAAAACCAAAACCAAATCAATTTCAACCACCATCAGAACTTCAATAACCAATCAGAATTTAAAGTAGAAAGAGGCAACCCGCTTGAAGCGCAGGAAAACGCGAGTGACCAAGACGGATTGGTTTTAGTTTTGCTTCTGATTGGTTGAAATGGTAGCACAAGTTTTAGCGACCAATCACAGAGCAAAGTGAAGCTGAAACCAAAGCGATTCAGGATTACTTTCAACATTCAATTGTAAACCGCTCTAATTTCCAAATCTCACTCTAGACTAATGGCCTTAGTAGCCAATAACTAAATTAACATTGAGTTTCGGTTTCCTTTAATTTAGATTTCGCCTGGCTCAGTTGTCAAAATAATTAAAACGTTTTAACCGACAATTGAAAATGCGCGAGGTTTGTGGTGTTACTTTTAGCGGCTATTTAAATTACCAGCTTATCGGAAAGAAAAGATATAACAAAAAGTGTTTTAAATACTTACGCCAACTTCAGTTTCTTCTGGGGAATATGACATAAATTTCCATTAACATTCCCCATCTGGGCGGCAAATCTAAATGGACAAGAAACAAGAATTTTTTCTTTTAATTAACAGTCGTGAAACGCTATACAAAGATATTATAAAAACTTACTTTTAAGTTTTCGGTTTCGCAACTTAATCGTGATTTGAAATGCTGAACTGAAAAAATCTGTATGGATTGTTTCAGTGTTTTCAGTTTGAAGATGGAGTTGAGATTTAATCAGTCATTGACTGGGTGTGTGAATCAATTATGTACCAAAAAAACCAAAATTCATCGATTAAAAAGTTAGCACAGCTTGTTTTAAAGGCGTGTTCGCTTGTAACACCCGAGGAATTTATTTAATGAAATTTGTGATCATATATTGGCCTTCTTGCAAAATCATGTGTACATATTACACATGCTGATCACGATTTTTGAAATGATAACTTGAAAGACCACCTACGGAGAAATACAGGCACGTACTTCCTCAGGCAAAGCAGGCGAGTTAAGCAACGACATGGGAACAAGCCCCAGCCCGGATATATGCGATACTATAAAAAACGATAGTTTATCTCTCTTCCCAATGAATTTTCATTTTGTAACTCACAAATCCTCGGTTCCATTAAAAAAAAAAACTGAAATCACAGATAAAGCGCAAGGAAGAACAATTTTGCCAGCGATTGAAAGAAATGCCAGCAAAAATGCTCAAGAAGAACTAGATTGAATGAAATAAAGAAAGTAGTTTGAACTCTAATAAAATAAACGATGTCACGAAGCAGAAATCCATGATTTCTTTGGCTATTTTTTGAGGACTCATCGACATCACACAAACATGGAATTTTATTTTTTTACTTCCAACAAAAGTACGTTTAAATTTAAAAGATATTTATAGCTTTTAGTTTAAATTACAGTGAATAACTGAGAATCCCGTCATATTTATATTAAGAAGATTCAACTCAAGACTTTCTCACCCTTCTGTTGTTACAATGGAAGCCAGCGCGCGATTGAATTTCGCCAAAATCTCTCCGTCTCCTATTCGGACCGTGTCTGTTACAAAATAAATGAAACAGGAATTTAAAAATCAACAGCATTCTTTAAAATAAGAAAAACTTTTCCGACTAGGAGCAAAAATAAAGGAACTTTTCATGAAATACTCTCATGAATAAAAACAAAATTTAAGCCAGAAGGACTTTGGCGCGAGAGAAATAAACAATTGGCCGGTTGGCGGTCTTAGCTTCGAAAGTTAAGTCAGAAATATCTAAGTATTGCTCGTAACCTAAGAGAAAATAGACTTTTCCATGAGTAATTATTTTACGGAGTGAAAATTAACTTTTCTTCATAATCAGTTGGTGTATAAAAGCAACGGGATTTTGAATCAGAAAAAATGAAAGGCACTGAACATACTTTCTTTAAAGAAAACATCTTAAAAATTGGATATCTAATGCCTAACTGAAAAAATAATGTACTTACGAGAGATAAATTTCTTTCCGTCGTGATCGTCAGCTCTGGGAGACTCAAAACTCATTACGTTTCACACACTCTTTTAGATTTATTTTCTTTTTGTCCGCAGTTCCTCCTAAAAAAAAGTGGCAGATAAAAGAGTTTAAGGATACACAACTGGTGATGACGAAAATTCAAACATTTCAAAGGTGCTAAAATTTTCGAAGTGTTAAAGTGACTGTTTTCATTTTCGGGTGAAGACTTCCAGAATGCCTCAACTTTTAAGAAGATCAAACTGAAACAGTAATTTAAATGTTATCAAGAATTTCGGCTCAGAAAGCGTTTTTTCCGGCCGGCTGTTTTCCTTGAAGGTTTAAGTAAGTCGACTATAAATTACGATGTTTCAAAAATTCCAGTTTGAGTTAAATCTAAGACTGTTATGTTAACAATATGTTATAATAGCATAACCCGTTAACGCAAATTTAACTGAAATCTTTTATCCGGAAGCAAATCACAAGTGATTTAAAGAAAAAGCATTTTGAAAGATGATTCCGCCGTGGTTTGTCGGTTTTTATAAATTATTCTCTCCAAAAATGAAAGGTAAAAACAGAACTGATTTCCAAGTTTGATTATCGAAATGAAAATACAGACTTATTGAGGGTAACCGTACCACTAAAACGGCCTATAATTATGTGTCATGATTCAAACATAGAGTGGCCCGTAAAAAGTACACGAAAAGAAAAACACATCATTAATATCTCATCATGTGAAAATGAAAGAGCCATTAAAGTGTAAAACTTGCCCGCCGAAGAATCTCCAATCTCGCAGTGAATAGCATTTCGTTTTCTTCGCCAGGAAGTTTTTCAGCTGCCGACTTAGAAATCTTCCACACCGATTTCTTGATGGCTTAAAAACCAGCTCGTTTGTTTACTTGTAAAGTTAATTCCACTCCTAATCTAATCCTTCTGTAGTTCCGGTACAGTAAAGAGATCAACAGAGCTTTTTCTTATGCAGAAGGCAGCTTTAATTTGTGTTTCTTTTCGCGGTTTTTCACTGATTGAAAACAAAAGGAAAGCGAACTAAATGAGTTTGTTGGATATGCATTTTCGTTGGCAAGAACAGTGCATGGTTCGTAAAAAACGGATTGACTGGCTTTAAATAAGAGACAGAATTAAAAAAAACTAATTTCCATCAAAACAATTTTAGGGGTTTAAATGAGAATGGATAATAAACTGTAAATCCAGCTTACTAAATTTACAAGTTGCTCCTTTTTTAAAAACGAAAATCAAGGGAAACTCTGTCTTTTTTTATGTCGGCGTTTTCAAAGTCTCTCCTTCGAAAGCATTCTACTTTGATTTATCCGGTACTTGACTCTAGATGAGCAGAAAAAGATAAAAAAGAAAAAAAAAACATTTCACTTCACTCCAATCAAAGCCGGAGGTGGATTTGCAAAGTGTAATTTTGAGCGACAAGCTTCGAAGCTGGTGCATGTCCGCTCTCATAAACTCCAGTATGTTTCCAGTACATTATGCAGCGCCTGTCCACGCAAAACAACGAGAACCTCTTGATAGAGGCTGAAGAGTTCTGGACGCAATTATTTGTTAATGAGAAAAAAGTTTTCCCTGAATGTCAAATGCTTTTAAGGGGAAACAAACGTATTTTCCGACAGGAATACAAACGCCGTAAATGAAAGAAAAGGAACGATAAATAAAACCCGACGTTATTGAGTCATAAAATAATTTACTGTTAGTTCTACACATTTTCTGGATAAATCACTTAACGACAGTTTTGAACTCAGCAGGATACGAATTTTCGCTGCGTGAAATTTTAAAGGAAACCACGCACGCAGCCAGATTTATCGATACTTTTTTTTTCGCCCTGACATGTAATTTGCCCGCTCGTCACATGTTCGTACTGCATTCAAATGTTACCTCCAAAAGATCAAACTTCATGAAGGATTCGGTCAATTGCGTACCTTTGGGGTGTGAGGCGATTAGCAAATTAGGTCGTTTTGTGACAGTCTTTAAAATATACGAACAAACAGGATTTAAGAACTCACCTCTAAGTTTCCAAATCTAAGATTTGCGACTTGAGTGTTCGTGTTTTGGCCTGGTGAGATATTGTGAATGCAGCCGATGTTACGCGTTTCTCGGATGGCTGTGAAATGGCGAGATTTTAAAGTGTCTACCCGTCAATTCTGCGCAGCAGAGTGTTTCACAATGATGAGAATTTCATCGCTGCCGCCATATGGGCCCGCGATACACCTGCTCCCTGTCTAAACATCGAACAATCGCGGGATAGAGTCAAATCACGTGACACGCGTCCAAAATTCGAAAAATGACAAATTTGATATTTACCGAGATGTTGGTTTAGATAAATAATGATACAAGCGACGTATTGGCCTTTAATAAGCTCATCTCTCGGGGCTGATGGTGTTTACGGACAACCAGGATCCCGCTCGCGGGGGAAAAGTCTACGCGTTCTGCGTCTTTTGAAATTGATAAGTTTTCCGAGCGCTCGGCAAAAACGAGGGCGCCGGCGGTGGACGGGAAAGGGAAAAAAACCGAACAACTCGCATGAAATCGTTAACAAGCTCCGAGTGGACAAATGGGAAATCAATTATTAGCTGAGAACCCAACAGATGCAAGATTTCACGAACACAAAAGCAGTAATGGTTCGTAATAGCCATTTAATCACACACTATTTACAGGCCAGTTTATTAATTCAGTCAGTGATACAAAAGAACTGTAGCGAAAGGCCTTTTACTGCGCTGATTTTCGCGGGTTGTTTTTTTTTCGGGGGCCTAGAATAACCGCTGCTAAACGAACCTGGCAAGAATACCCGCCGTTAGTAAAAGGAAAAAAAAAACAAAATAAATGCCCGTCGAATTTACACGCACTAAGCTGTCCGGCTGGAGAGGGAAAAAAACCGAAAAAAATAAAATTCAGAAGTTAGCGTATATTTTATGCAAAGCTTTCACAGCGTGGAAGTCTCGTGGCAATTGCTCATCTTCCCTGATAAGGCGCGCGCCTCGATAATTCGAAACATCTCAATAAAAGATATGAAAAAGTCTTAAAAGGGTATTTTGTTATTGTTTGACCCCACACACTAAATTTTGAGTATCCTTTTTAATGATTCATAACTAAGAAGGAAGGAAATCGTATCTTCTAAATAGAACTAGATACGTTTCGAATGACAGAAAATTTTGTTTCAAATTTCATGTTGGTTTAACTGTTTGTTGAGGAGGTCGTAAATGAATTTCTCGGCTTCGAATAAAAGTCGGGCGGAATTTGGAGGCTTGTAAATAATTTGAGCCGCAACATTATAACCAGTTTTTCATGGCGGAACATACTTCAAGCCATGGTAAAATTAATTACGACGTTAGATAAGACGTGCTTTTGAGATAACATTATGGCCCCTGTTGTCCAGTTCCGTAACGGGTTTTTGTATTGAATACATGATTTTGATAACGTCAATTTTTTTTTTTAAATCTTTCAAACGAAATGACTGGTTATGCATATTTCGTTTTATTACGGGGAAAATGATTATCACTTGGACACCTTTGTAATTCTCACCGATCAAACTTGCGCTGTCAGTATTATGATATTACTTAAGACTCTCTTGACCTCGAAGCCGCGGTGAAAGGCGATGGAGTAATGATTCCCGATTAGCAAAAACCTTCAACCTCTTCGCTTGAACAATATGTATATTGAATTAAAACCCGCCATTCTGCAGCCAAAGCCTTTCATATGCTGTATCTAAATCCGGCGGAATAATATGCGTGGCGACATAGAATAATCATGTTTTAGTTTTTAATTACACGTCGACGTGTTCCAAAAACAGAAAAATTAAAACTCTCTGAAATGATCCTTGCAATAATTGACATTTTGGCAGAAGTAAATCTTTATGTGAAAGGATTACACTTGAAAGCCTACTGTTTAAGATCGTCGAAAGTGCAATTGGTAAATCAAAATGTTAGAGTTATTATAAACTTTGAAATGATTAAAAAACAAAACCTCATTCACAGACCTTATACCGATCGCTTTATCTCTTAGACAGAATTTTTTAGGAGATGAGGATAGGGGGCGACATTTCGCTCTGAAAGACGAATGCAGCTTTTTGCGATGTTGATTATCATAGCATTAACAAAGTAAATAGCCAAACCATTTTCGCTGACATGAAAAACGGTTCAGTCCGTTAAGATATTTGCGGGACAATTTCTGAAGCAAACGTAGATGAGATTTTGTACGCGCGTTTAAAAGCAAATCGACATCAAACCGCACGCAAGTGGGTTGTTTTGAATTCTGCTTGGTTCATTGTTTAAAACATTTTAAAGGAAACTCCCATTTTGCATATAAGAGAAACGTATTAGAGCACCAATTAACACCTCAATATAGCTTTTTGTTAAGGACCAGGTAGCTTTTAAAAAAGTACCTCTTAAATACAACCGCATTTTAAAATTCATCGAATCAAACAAAAACGTTGTGCGTTTTGAAGCACTTTGTCGCACGCTACAAAGTCCAATAATTTCACTTCATATCATGATACTTACACTTAACTGCATGCATGTTTATGGAGAGAAGATTTCAATTTTAAATTCAGGGCTTTATCTGCCATTACAAAAGACTTAAAAAACGGCTTAACTGTGAAAAGCAGAAGATTTTCCATTGCTGTTAATCAGAAATAGCTTTATTGCGAGCCAAGCGCGTTATGTGAAATGTAGAGTTCATCTGGTGAAATAAACCCGATCAGGCATTAGTCATTTAAACATGCACTTCAGTTCAGATTTTGTGTCTAAGCAAACATCTCGCTCTAAGTGAATGATCATGAAATAGTCTAATGAAATCAAAGGCACTATGATTTATGCACAAAATATAGTAAAACCATGCACTAGAAAATTTCAGGAGCCATTACGATAGATATCATTACTTAACAACTAGCTAAATTAAGGAGAGCATGCCGCTAAATATTTATTTTGGCCATTTTAAAACTGATTCGATCAAACGTACTGTTTTTCCTGAGAAGAAGACTGGCGAAATTTCTATAAATGAAGATGGAATAGATTCACTTCTATGAAGGCGGCCGCCTTTGAGTAATGAAAACTGAACTGCGTTTTTCAAAACAAAATTAAGCAGTTTTCTTCTGAAAAGAAGTTTTAGTATTTTAAGGGTTTTATGAAATTTCGGACATTGCGTAATCTGAAACCCTCATTAGGTTTAGAAAAATACCATGCTGTATTTATTCGAATGAGCACCGCCCTCGGATAAGCGCCTCCCTTAAATAAACGCCGCGTATGAAACAGAAAAATCAATAAGCGTCATGGTCCCTATGCAGCGCTTATTCGAAAAATTCTTTCACAAGCTACAATGCGTCATATGTAGTTGGATATCATGAGGAAATTCCCGCATAATTAATGTCCAAGGAACGAGGGCAAAATGGTGGGTAGTCTGTGGAAAAAGTTCGTTAAAACTTCAACTTTGAGCAGTATGACAACCATACATAAGCGATGCAAGAGAGTTACGGAAAAAAAGATTAACGCCCATCCCCCTGACCTCCCGTAGGGACCCATCAGGTATCAACTGACATACCACTTCTACGTACTTGAATACAGCTACTACGCAAAAAAAAAAAAAATTAAGTAAACATATAAAAGAAGATATAGACATGAGAGTTTAAAATATTTGCTACGTATACCTTGAAGTTTACCAAAAACGAAGTTTATTTCCAATTTTCATTCTTTTGTACTGATGCGGGTCCTACAAGAAGCATCAATAATATTCACTCTCTTCACTGAAACTAAATTCTGAACTTTCCTTATTCGCATTGTATTTTCTTTGAAAACTGTTGATTAAAATGTTACACCCTTGGCTTAGTTCTCCTAACAATGTAGTATTAAGGTGTCCAAATTTCTCTCGCACTTTCAAGAGTTATTCCGAGACTTAGCCTGATTTTTTTTTCGATTAAGCAATGGAACTTGCATCTTCGATAGTTGCTAAAAGTTAAGATTGTCGTCACATTTCAGTTTGCACGCGTTTTAAATTTACTAAGCCGGGATACGCTTGAAGACTTTCTCGTAAGTCCGTGGTTTTATTTGTCTTGTACTAAATATTGATGCGCGAATATATCTGATAAAGTTTTACCTTTATTTCAAGCCATCGGTGGTAACAAAAGGCTTGTATGGATGTTTTCATGTATCCACTTTTTACAATAGAACAATAAATCGCATTACTCGAACGTTTTTGAAACAACAGTATCACCCCCGGCGATAGTTCCGTGATCAATGGTTCTCTTGATGAAAGTCAATTGATAGCCTCGGCAATTTCCCGGTAGAGGAAAGAAATCTGATCTTGCTTACAAAAAAAGTAAAAAGAAAGAGGAAAGAACACGGAAATTTCCTCAACTGAAACGGGTTTCTCTCGGTAGCAGCTTGGGATATTGATCAGCTTCTACTTTCAACTGGCGCAAGGTAATTTGGCTAAATAAAAATTCACTGTAACAGAGGCAGTTTTCGCACGGTAACGCTCTGTGTATGAAAATAACACAACGGCTATTTTCATGTTGTTTGTTTAGGAATACAGGTGGGCAAATAATAAGTGTCTTCAAGTTAATCACAACGTTAATTTTAAGGAAGAAATTTGTGTTCCTCTCCTTCATTTCTACTCTCCGATTTCGTGGAAAATCTGTGCAAAGATTTTAAGGTTCTCTGTTTTTGTTACAGAAACCTTCAGTATCATGCTTTTGTCTTTCCGCGAATAACTGAGCCCGAAACAATTCTAAACGACTTAATTTAGCATGTATGTTAAAGAGTAATGTGTATGATATTGAGTTTCATTTTCTGTTGGCAGTTCCATTCTTTATTTGAGTTGAAACAAAAAACATTCACAAAATACTCAACAAAGGTAACCTCTTTGATAACCGACAAAAACGATTTTACAGCAAGAGGCCATTTAAAAACTCCGATTTGAGCTCGAACACACGTGTTCCACGCGTAATTTATCATTTCGCAACCAATCAAAGAACGCTTTGTTTGTCTAAAATGAAAAGAGACAATCTAATAGAAACAAAGAGTTTGTGTCTCTGAGGCTGACACTCACCTCCTATCACGTTCAAGTTTTCCTCTGTTGTAGCAACCCAACCTTAATTATTAATTGTTTCAAAGAAGAACGAAAATCGGTATAGCAGAAATTCTGAATTCGTCGTCAAGGAGGCCTTCCTTTCGTTTGTTGACAATCGAGAAAAAAATAGCGACAAAAAATCCCTCGGGGTTATCTGCCATGTGCACGATTCGGTTGACATCAATTTTTTTCGTCGATTGGGAGACCACAAGCAAAGATTTCGTGAAAGGGATAAAGTTCACTTCGACGCAACGAGATATAAAAGTCCACTTGTTTTACAACAAGAAAACACCGAAAAATGAGCTTCCTGGAGATTCGGAGTGGATTGTAAAACATCCTACGCTTACATCTTCCGCCGAGGCGTCTTGGACGGCGCTTTTAACGTACGTGCTGCATTTTTACACGCACACGGCGTGCAACTGTACAAACAACCACTGTAGACTTTGGCCTAAGCGCCATGTTCATACAAAGTACAGGGCTCATATTGTATGCGGAGACGAAGCCAGGTACGAAGAATTGCAAGCCATTTTGAAATTCAATAAAATTCCTGTAAAAATAATCGACGTTGGCGAGCGTACCCTTCTCGACTTGTTTCAATATTCTTGCAACCACTGCAAAATTATTTTCAAAACTAAGAAAGAAGCTGATGCCCATGACCAGATCAAGCACAATTTTCTGTGCACGAATTTGAGATGCGAAAAAAGCAAGCGAACGAACGGCTTCTTTGCAAGGAAGGAATTGGAAGATCATCTTGCGCGCCAGCGGAGCTGCGAATTCTGCCCAGATAAGATATTCTGCTCGACTAAAAAACTTGAAGAACACATGGGAAAAACTCATAGAAAATGCGACTGCAGCTGCGAGGAGTACTACGAAACGAGAGATGAATATCTTGAGCATTTTTACAGTAATTTGCCTCTGCCGTGTCTCGAAGAGCCGAGTTGTTCCGAGCGCTTTCCGAACATTGAGTTTCAAGCTTTCCACCACAAGTCAGTCCACGGGGCAACCTATCCGTACTATTGTATGGCCTGCTATAAAAAGAAGTACTTGGTCTGTCTCAAAACCGCTGAAGAATTATTGAATCACGTGGAGGAAGAAAAACATAGCGATGAAGAATTTTCTTTTGCGCAAATTCCTCTCTATATTGCATTGGGAGAAAACTGATGTCTGGAAATTCAAGGCAATGGACAATAAAAAAGAGAACGGAATTTCCTTCGGAACGTTCTTTGTAAGAGACTATTTCTAATGTTTGACTCTGTAAAAAACGCAGAAGAATTTTGCTTCAACTATGACTTTAGACAGGGCTACGTTCAACATAAAGTAAGCAAGGAGAAACGTATTTTTCCAACTGAGAGAAATAATAGAAACGAAACACTCTACCCAGAGTTCTTCAATTCTAAGAGAATTCGAATTTTTATGTGAGATCAAGGTCAAGTTTAAGAGTTTCATTTCTTATGAACCTAGAGTGACCTATTCGATTTACTAAATTGACTCTCAAAAGTGCGCGTACTACTCCGACTCAACAAATGTTTAACGTGAAATTTTTGGGAAATTTTATTTTTGCAATAAAAACTAAACAGAGGTCAATTATTTATAACTGATTCCGGCTAAAAGTTTTCCCCGGAGTTCTTTCAAAATCTGATAACATTTATAATGCATTTTGCCAGAAGTAG